TTACTGCCTCTGAAAACCTCCTGGCGGGTCAGCTAGGAGCCGGCTCCGGCTTGATAGAGCTCACAACAACACATGACACAGTTCTACGCTGTCCACTAGAGTTGTGATGAGTTAGATACTACGATGGCGCAAAACAATAACACCGTAAAAATAATGTTGTTGTTGCATATTGTGGAGTCCGAACTGACCCATAGCTGACTTTCAAACGGGTTTTCGGAGGCATGGGAAGAGATTGCCCATCTTTCTCCTGAGGAACAGCTGGTGGATTTGAACCACATGCTTTTGGGATTGCAGCACAGAGTCTTAGCACTGAAAAGAAGAAATTCTACTAACTATTGGATACTTTCTATGTAGGAAGCTCTGGTGGCCTAGAGGCAAGAAGCTGTACTGTAATTCTGAAGGCACACAGTTTAAGGTTACCAGGTGCTCTGCAAAAGGGTAGACAATCTCCTCCTATGTGATTAATTGTCTCTGAAAACCTGCCAGAGGGTCAGCTATTGGTTGGTTCTGACTCTGTGGTACACAACAACAACAACAATAACTTTCTCTACATCTACAGAATAACTCACTTTAGAAAAAGTTCTATGTTATAGATCTTAATCATGATTTTAACCTTATGAATATGATATCATATGATATATGAATTATACTAATTGCACAGAAATGTAATAGAAATATCTAGCAGTTTGATGGTCTAAGGGTTGAAAATCAGATCTATATTTAAACTCAGGCTGCCTTCTTCCAAGTCCTATAATTTTGCAAGGCATTTGAAAAGTGGAAAAAGTGACTTAATTATGATTACATGAAATTCTTTTGTTTTCTCTACATAAATCCTTTAAAACAGAGTTGTTGTTGTTAAGTACCATCTTGAAATAACAAGCAACTTAAAAATCCAAGAAATAACTGCAAAGAAAAATTCTCATGTTCTGCAAGTTGTAATCATGTCATAGCTAAACTTTTACTGAGTTTCTGATGCAAAAATGTTACAAAGAAGAAGGTTGCCCATTGCTCTCTCTTGGAACTGGGGGATTTGAAACGCTAGAAAGTTGTGGTCTTTGTGTTAACAGCACAATTCTGGATAGATCCTGCAAGAGCTCCCTACAAGCTATTTAGATCAAGTGAAAAACCTGAGGAGTACTCAATAACAAATATTTAGGCTATTTTAAAGAAAAACTTTGCAGTGGTAATAAAGATGAAAGGGAAAACTATCTTAATTCGTTTTTGCAGAGAAAAAACAGCAATAAGAAATACATACCTTTCATCTTCTGTGCAGCTGTCAGATGAAGACTCCTTCGAATGCTGAACCACTGGGAGTTAATGGCCCTGTCTTCTGGCTGGTTTTCACTATCTAAGCTATATATATATATGAAGCTTCTCAGACTAAGCTTGGAAAACCTCCCACTCGATCTCTTTATTTCAGTCTCTCTCTCATTGACATTGAGTAGGATTCTACTCTTAGCTGAGTTTCTAACAGGTTTCCAAGTTGCTTGTCAGGACATTACCCATATATTTCTCATATGGAGCAGCTGGTGGTTTCAAACCACCTGCCTTTAGGACTAGATCAGCAATTTCCTCCTGAAAGACTCTGAAAACTGACCATATTGCAGTCAGTTTTTGGATGAGTGATGGTCATATAACACTAAGAGTTAGAAGTCTATGACCTTGAAGCAAATGCTACATCAGGAAAGGCTGAGGGGTTTAGTCCCAGGACGAGCCCTGGTCGTCTACCTCAAGGTACTTAGCAGTAACGGGGCATGTGCTGTAGATTTCCTCTTTTTAGTTTTTTTTATTTTGTTTGCTTTTTAATTTTAACTGTGATTTTAACAAAAGGTTTTCAGTAGATTTCCTCTAGTGGCTATTGTCTCTGGAAGGTCAAATAGTGATTATTCATTTAGTTTCTGAACTGACATGACACCTGAGAGCTCTTAGAGATAACTTCAAACAGGAATTGCTAGTAATGTTAATAGTTGTCTGGTAGTAATAGCTGGGACCACCTGTATTAGCTGAAATCCAGGTTACTTATTAGGATGTAGGGAGCTCTGGTGATCTAACAGGTAAGGAGATTTGCTCTTAATCCAAAGGCAGAAGGTTCAAATCCACCAGGAGCTCCCCAGAGAAAGATGGGCAATGTCTTCCAGTGCCATGTATTGTTATTATGTACCGTTGAATCAGAACTTAGTCATAACAGACCCTCCAGAAGTTTTTATAGACAGTGAATTGCATGTGAGGAGATTGATTGCTTATCTTTCTCCCATAAAGCAACTGTTGTATTCAAACCACATGCCTTTGGGTTCGCAGCACAACTCCTTACTACTAAGCCACCAGAGTTATTATTTTCAGCATCTAAATTGTTATATGGTAAGGACACATAAGAACAATAACATATGGTAGGTGTGTTCCAGGACCTCGTCATATCTTGTGGCTCGCCTCCTTGATTTGAACTGCCTTCATAGAAAATATATTGCTACAAGAGAAAATACTGATGGCTCTCTGGTGGTGTATTGTTGTCACATGCCATCAAGTTGACTAGGACTCATAGAGACCGTGTGAACAATGGCTCTGAACCCTGCCCTATCCTGAGCCAACCTCACCATCTCCAACACACCTGACAGCATTGCCACCGTGATGGTGTCAATCCATCTCATCCAGAGACTTCCTCTCCTACGTTGACCCTCTAAACATCCAAGCATGAGATCATTCTCCAAGGGCTGGTCCCTCTTAAGAATATGCCCAAAATATGCAAGATGAAGTTTCAAAATTCTTGCCTCCAAGGAGCAGCGTGGTTTCCACTCTCTTGAGGACAGACCTGTTTGTTCTCTTGGTAGTTCCGTGGAAAGCTCAATACTCTTCTCCAGCACCCAAACTCAAAGACATTGATTCTTCTTCTGTAATCCTTAGTCACCGTCCAGCTTTCAGATGTACAGCAAGCAATTGAGAAGTAGTCTGGTGATATAGTCTATATCAAATTATACTGCTTACCCAAGTCTTTGTGTCTCTAGTGGTTCAAATCCAACAGTGGCTCTCAAAGGAAAAAGACACACAATCTTTTATGCAAAGAAAGTTGTTAAAAAGCCTAAAAAAACCCAAAACACCAACCAACCAAATCCAAGTAGTAAATAGATTCTAATTGGAGTTCTGGTGACTTAGTAGGACAAAGATGCAATATCAGAAGATGATTCCAATGTATAGGATTTTGAAGGTTGGTAAAATAAAAAGGAGTTTTGTAGGAAGACTTGTTCTAGTTGGAAGTATGGTTGACATGCTTACTACATTAATGAAAATGGTTCTGAGTTAATGGCCTTAATCTAGAGAACAAGATTCTTTCAGATTCTATCGTCTAATGTGAATCGTCTTAGAAACGATATTAAATAGCTGCCTCAGCAGTTTGTAAGAGTCGAAGATAAGCCTTCATTTTAAAGATGGAATCTGGACTTATCCAGTTCAAACTGCCAGAAAGGAGCAGTGCAGTGTCAGCTAATCATGTGCATTCTAAGTGTGAATATAGAACCTAACCTGTTTCATTATTATTATTACTATATCATTATTATCACTATTATTATTACTATCATTATTACTGTGGATATTTTCTTATTTTACCTTCTGACCATATGATATTTTCATCTATAGCTTCAGTTTTGAACTCAGTTCCAAAGAGCAGAGATACAGTTGTTCTTAAAAGCTGATTAATACTTCTGGGACCTCATATCAAACATTGTCATAGCTGAAGATTGAAAAGAGATTTATCCCTAGAAGTAGAAATAAAAATATTTAATGAATAAGTAACATATTTGGTGCTGCATGGATATTACCTTTGCACTGATCCCACAAACTCGTATACAGAGTGACTTTCTTTGTTAGAGAGTACTGAACATGCCCAGGGACGTGTCCGCAATGCCAAGAAAAATACTAATTTTGAAACAGCTATCCAAATACTTGAGATAATTATAACAACAAGAAAAGAAACCTAAAAGCAAAAGATAAATGTCTTTGTTTCTGTTGTTGTTAGGTGCTGTTGAGTCCAGTGTGACTCACAGCAACCCCATGAACAACAGATCAGAATCCTGTCCTATCCTGTGACATCTCCTCCACCTCTGACACACTTAAGCACATTGTTTCAGTCAGTGCCTCAACCCATCTTGTCGAAGGTCTTCCTTTTTTCTGACCCTTCACTTTTTCTAGCATGATATCTCTTTCCAAGGAATAATTTTACTTTGGATAAAAGATAAATATTCGTATAGTCCTTATGTCACAAATTGTTTGCAAATATTTACTCATTTAATTATCTATCACATGTTAGTAATATTACCAAGAGCACACAACCATTAAATGTCAAAGTCAAGATTTGAACCAAATCACCTCTTATTGGTTGTGATCTTCTCTGTAGCTTACAGATAATTTTTTTTCTGCATTATACCGGACTACTATAGTTCACAAGTATTCTTCTGTAGAATTATCTACTGTATTTGTGAATATTTTCTTTTTCTTAGAAATTTTCTCAACTTCTATCTGCAAAGAAAAGTTGTGATTTTTGTCTCTAAAATTAATCTTTGCCTCGAAAGTTTTGCCAATTTTCTTAATTCTACCAGATCTCATAAACTATGCCTTCTTTTTTAACTTGAGAAGTGTGAATGTTAAGTGTAGATGTACAAAACTTTAATTGCTGCATTCAGGAGAAGCCCTGGGCAATCTCCCTCCATGTGATTACCTGCCTCTGAAACCCACTGGAGAGGGTCAGCTATGAGTCAATTCCAACTCAAAAGAACACAACAACAACAACCTTTGATGTAATATTCTTTTATATTATGAATGAACTTTTGTTATTTTCTTCAACAAAAACCATAATCTATTTGTCAGAGAAAAAAGTCACACTATGATTCCACTAATATTCTGTTTGTTTCTTTAAAAGGGAGAAAACCAAGACCATTCATTTATCCATCAATAAAGTCAAGTCATATCAATTAATACCATCCAACCTGAATGAGATAAACAAGAAAATCAAGATGTTGGATAATAATTATACCATGCCAACTGAGTTCATTTTTGTTGGGTTCACAGATTATTTACCTCTGAGAGTCACACTGTTTCTGATATTTTTTGTAGTTTATGTATTAACTGTAGTGGGGAATATGGGCTTGATAATATTAGTTAACATCGATTCAAGCCTTCAAACCCCCATGTATTATTTTCTTAGCAACTTATCTTTCTTAGACATCAGTTACTCCACAGCGATTGCACCTAAGATGCTGGTAAACTTCCTAGCATCTCGAAAGAGCATCTCTCCCTATGGCTGTGCGCTCCAGATGTTTTTCTTTGCTTGTTTCGCTGATGCTGAGTGTCTCATCCTGGCGGCAATGGCATATGACCGATACGCAGCCATCTGTAACCCGTTGCTCTATTCTACTCTTATGTCTAGGAGAGTCTGTATTTGTTTCATTGTCTTAGCCTACTTTAGTGGAAGTATGACTTCTCTGGTCCACGTTTGCCTCACATTTAGATTACCATTCTGTGGCTCCAATGTTGTCAACCATTTTTTTTGTGATATCCCTCCTCTCCTGGCTTTATCGTGTGCAGATACTCATATCAATGAGCTTCTGCTCTTTGCTTTGTGTGGTTTCATTCAGACCAGCACTTTCGTGATCATATTTATCTCCTATTTCTGCATTCTAATTACTGTTTTGAGCATCAAGTCCTCAGGTGGCAAGAGCAAGACATTTTCCACCTGTGCTTCCCATCTGATCGCAGTGACCTTGTTCTACGGAACTCTCCTGTTCATGTACTTGCGTCCTACGACGAGCTATTCCCTAGACACCGATAAAGTGGTGGCAGTGTTTTATACAGTCGTCTTTCCCATGTTTAATCCAATCATCTACAGCTTCAGGAACAAAGATGTGAAGAATGCTCTCAAAAAACTATTAGAAAGTTACAGGACTTTCAAATAAATTGGAAATTAAATATTTTTCAGTCTAAGATTATCAAAGGGGTAATCTCCCCTTTCAATGTCACCACCTTCTACTCCCCTACGCACAGCTTACAATTCAATAAA